GACTGAGCTTATCGTCCAGTGCATAACATAATGAAACAAAATTATGTCACAAATGATTGCTCCCACCCCAACAAATCATGAGTAACATCTAGGAAGAAAGTTCATAGTTGTTGGTGTACACGTCAAAGGAAAGCGCTTGTCAATTCAACTAAATTTTTCCAGGAGATACTGTTTATCTTTTAACCCAACTCCTCGTTTGTCCTTAAAATGCTTGCGTACACGCGTTTATCCAAGAATGTAGGTCGATCATAATTCGTCCCACGGTTGCAGGGATGTGATGAAATATGCGCAATTTAAATCGCACGCAACTGGCCGTTTGCGTGCTATCCTAGTTAAATGCAACCTGTTTTCGTGCGCGCGTAGAGCCAACTATGATGATGCTACTACTGCTGCCTCTGAGGATCTCCAAGAGACTCAATTTTTCATTCCCATCACCCCACCCTCTTCATCATTCGAGCAGGCTGCGGTGAGCCAATCGGAGTTCAGTGTGGCCAAGGGAAGGCGTATAACCAGATGGGATATGAAAAATTCGTTGGAGAGTTGGCTGAAGCCTAATGAGCACGAGACGAGTGGCAGGAAAATTGTTTCTCTGTCTTTGCTTGCTGAATGTGGGGATTTTTGCAGAAGAAAATGAGTTCCGTAATAAACGGCACATCACTAAACAGCAATACCTTGTGGGTGAGTATATTTCAGTTTTCTATATAAAATTCCATATCTTTAAGGGCCAAGTATAAACACAGCAGTATTTACAGCGATTTTTTGCGTCAATTGACCAATAAAGGTGCCTTTTAAATTAGAAGGTCAAAATTAGGTAGATACTCTTTTGGAAATTCCTAAAAAATTGAAGGAATTAGCAACAAATTTGCGGTACAATGTAGCGGCGTAGGTTTGTGCAGTATTTGCAGATAAAAAGAGAAAAGACAAATTTAACTTTTCTTTTAGAAATTTCGGCAGAGCGTTACACTTTGTTTGCGTTAATTATTTCTCAATTAGACATGTATATATCAACTCAAAGACTACTTTTTTCCTACTGAGGGGATGAACATTGTGGTTCTTGGTATTTATTGTCAGCCGATTTGAGGGAAATTAAGAGTGCAGGCATTTGAAGGCATAAAAGAGCTCAGCCAATGACGTTGTATCGAAAGGCCAAACGGTAACAAGCTTCAGCTAAGATGAAAGTCGTGGTATATTGTTAAATCAAACCCACGTGACATTACTTGTGGGCATTTTGCCATAGACAAAAATAGCGCAAAAAGAGTGCACAAGAATTGAAAGAGCCTGAAGTCGAAAAAAAGCCAAGCTAAATTCAATACAACAAGCAAAAGCCTTATAGGGGAAGGCTTAGAAGGTGATGAAATAAAATAAAGTCAATCCAAGGTCCTTCTACTCCGCCGCCTTCATAGTGCCATGAATTTAATGCCGACCCCGAACCGCGTCTCGCAATGCGTAAAATCATTTCATGTGATGTCTTTCCGAAATTAAGGCTGATCTGTATGCTCCAGCTGGCAAATCTCGCAAGTTAATCAGCCGACAAAGGCGAACTCAACCCTAGACAGAATAAGGGATAATTTTTAGGTGCTCATATCTAGCATGTTTCTTTTCGTCTCCAATTATTTACCAATTTAGCACCACTTTGCCATCTCGCCATCTGATTTTTGGTATACCTCAATGCAATAACTTCTAATAGCTTGTAGGGCCTTGCAAAATGTAGGCAACTATTTACGTACTTTTATTGTGAATCATAAATATGACACTTCAGTCATTTGGCAAGATCCTCATCACTGATCTTTGTACAAGTTTGCTTCTTTGCTGCGGAAACAAACAGAAAAAGATTTTACCCAACTTATTCCCGGGGACTTCAGAAGCATTTGAGGTTCCCTGATTGACTGATACCGGATGGCGATACTGGCTGTGTTTGCTAGCACTCCCCTACATCTCGGAGTGATACAAAAAAGACACAAACTCGAGGGTTGAGGAATCCTTTGCTTTCACACCAGTCACTCCAGGCTGCGGCATTAAGATCCCTATTTTTTCTGCGATAAACACCTCATATTCTGTTTATTGAAGCCATACAACTGTATGAGCTGTTGGGAAAATTTTACGAACCCTCATGCTTAAAGTCACAGAGAAAGTAGCGGCTTTTATAATGAAGGCACAGCAGACCCGGAATGGGACCATATTTCGCAAATGTGCGCGCCGGACCGAATCTAAACAATAAACTCTGGCATTTGTAGGTAAAGCTTAGCTCTGCTGCCCTCAATCGTTTATTCTTTGAACTTTTCCAAGGGTGACTTGGGGGGCACTAATTTGGAAATGAAGAAGAGTGTCACCGTAAGTAGATAAGGTTTTAATAGAGGCTGGAGTTTAACGGATATCTCCAGGGTGACCTTTTGGAGGCCTAAATTTATAAAAATAATACAAGTGACCTTGAAAAAAGCATAAAGAAGCTAACTAGACGTTTCATTTACTAGTCATGTTAATGTTACTTTGCTCCGATCATTTCCAGGTGCAATCTTCCAAATCGACGCTCGCAATACCACTGAGTACAATGCCTTTAGGAGCTACCCCAATTCGGCGTCTTTATTGTGGCAGAACTTCCAGATCAAGGAGAAAATTGTTCATGTGAAAGACGCCCACGACAGTTTTCAGATGGCCAGTGCAAGTTAGTCGTCACTTTTTACTTGACACTCCAATACCCCTATTACACAGAATCTGTCGAAATTAGGCCGGTTTTACCTCATTACTACTGTTTATGGCTTAGTTAATGGAATCAGCAGAACTAGAGATGTACTTCACAGTATGTTGAATAGTATGTTTGACATGGTGATTGAGTTAGATAACATAACGGCATTAAAAGTAAACACAGTGGTGCAAAAAAAGTGGCATCAAGCTTCGAGCTTCCAATTGGACCCCAGGAATAAAAGTGAAAGTAAAATGCCAGCCAAGATATGCTCTACGATAGCCTTCACTTCAGTAAGGAGCTTGGGTATTTGTTTTCAAGGTTGGGACCAGTATAGTGCCGTGATTGAAAATGATAGGGATTTGGAGAGTAAAGGAGAAGAGACAAATGCGCAAACGGAAAAGCGGTAGCTTGTCTGGTAGCGCCTCCTCCAAGCACACCTGTGCATGGGCAAATGTTGGACAACAGTAGATCAGAAATCTGTCAGGTTGCCGCTAAGGCAAGCAAAATGCTGTAGCTCTTACCACCACGCTGTCCGGATCCATTGAGAAGTGGGGGCCTGAGATGGTAATACACCTCAAACACCCTTAAAATGTTATCACGTTTGATTTGTTACGTAATTTAAACTTATCGGAACACCTTTTCTACTATCGGATCACTCTCTATCCCAAGTTTCCAGGTTACTTCTTCATTCGCGGCAGATTACACCAAATTTCGGTTGATATCTATCAACTGAATTTAACTCAAAATTGAGCCGAAAAACTTTTCAGAAAGACCAAAACTTAGCGAATCGGTGAGGAGAGCGATGCACAAATTCATAGCTTACAGTTCGACGAAACTTAAAAAGTGAGAAAATTTGCAATAAAAGTGTGATATGGAAGGGATACTGCCAATTTCCCCATTTCCAAGCCATGACAACAACTCTTTCTTGGAATTCGCACCAGACAGAAACACGATCGCATGCCAAATGGGTTGAGATCGAACCGGATCAGCAAGGGCTTGGCGCTTTCTCTTTCAGGGGCAGTGCGTTCAATGGAAGAGGGATTTGTAGTAACCTTTTTTATGGTTAGTAAAGGGTGATTGGTTGTGACGGTAATAAACAGGTAAAATCTTATTCACTCACTTATATAAAGCCCATTGCCTTTGGGGGCAAGAAGCAAAGTCTAGGCCTTAGCCGCCTCCATTTTAAACTCACTTGGCCTTCCTACTTGGCAGGTGTTGGGGCAATCGTCCTCATTTGATGTTGATAATGATGACCGTGGGGTGGCATCTTTCTCCCATTAAAGCTTTCCATGAAATTGTGCTGGTTTGAAAGAATATTCCCTTTTATTAGCAATTCTGAAATAAGTTTCTCGTCCACATCATTGAATGGATATATTTCAAATTTAAATATTTGGTCATCAGATATGTGAAATATTCTGTTCTCAGTCCATCAAATACACGTATACACACAGAGAGAGAACCACACATGGCATGCATGATCTTGTAGTGATGGGGTAATGTGTCTCGGAAGTATGGAGTGGGTAGTGAATCACTTTGAGACAACCTGTGACACTCGTTGGCTTAGCAAACCTAAAAATGCTAAAATCTACTCAGGCATCCAATCAGCAGACAGCCTCAAAGGCACGAATAACAACTTGACGGTTTTACAAGCTTATTGTCACTAGCTGTCAATACATGTGCGACTTATTTGTCAGTCTTCCTCTACAGCCTATTCAATTGATATGAGCGTCATCGAATGCCACAAAAAGATGTTTTGACGCCTTAGCCAAAAGCGGAGCATTTTTTTAAAAAAAAATTGTAAATTGTTCAAACCCTTTGTACGGAAGGCATCTACTGCTACATCTTCAAATGTTGGACAATAAATGCGTCGAGACACTTCTGGGGTCTGGAAACTGAGCCGAAATCGGTTAGTAAAGAAAGCAGACTTAAGTTACGTCAATCTTAACAGATATTTAGCTTGAAGTTAGTGAAAATGAACCGTATCTATACTCTAACAAACAATTACTAAAATCCACTCAAACATTTTTAGGCATATGATTTGAATGTATTTAATTAAAAAATCCTAAATATTGAGCAAAACTTCATCCAAACATTGTCTTAACTCATTTTAACAACTTTGCGGACCAACACGGAATTTAGCCTATACCTATGAACCTTAAGAGAGACCTCGCTACTGAAATCAATTTCATCGGCTAAATTAATTTTTTACTCTATCTCCAGTCTGTGAGTTGGTGGCAGAGGGTGTTGTGGCCATCTTTGCTCCAGTGTACCCAGAAACCTTAACCATCGTCAAGTCCATGACAACGCAACATCGCGTCCTCTTCTTTACCACGACTGACGCGCACCACTTCGGAATTGCGACGTCAGACCTCAGTAGTAGTGCAGCAAACATCGTGAAGCTACGACCGCTGAAAGCGCCTGCCATGCTGGATTTTATGTTGCACTCGGAGTGGGAGGACATACTCTATCTTTACGAGTCAGAGGAAGGTTCGTTTACCACTTTTCAAAAGGCAGTTAGGGTGTGTGGCAAACAAATTGAATTAAAGCATACCTTATGTATGTTGAGATTGGAGTAAAGGGGGTGTAGATGATTAAGCATTACCACCTACCTCCAAGACACTCTGAATGTTTGATTAGTGGGGCTGATTCACTTCAAAATGAATAAAGATGAAATTACCACAGGGAAGAGATTTACTAATCCAGTGGGAGTGGATTGAGAAAGATTTGTGTGTAAGATGTTTCGTTGGGGCAGGTAATATTTTTGAACTCTGCACAGTTTATAAGAAATCATTGCAGCTAGCTATACTGAAAATAGCACCATCATTAATGCAGATCCCTTAACTCCTCTCTTGAGTCCTGGTGGTTTGATTGTCCACATTGCATTAGATTGAATGTCTAGCATATGCAACTTTTGGCATTTATTTTTGACCCTGAAGGGCAGATTATCTTTCCCTGTGGGTATTAAGCAAGAAAAACAACTTATTTACTAAAAATTCTGCCTTCTGCACATTATTTTCTAACAAAATAATCATCATAAGCAATAGAAGCATCTAATCTCACCTGAAAATAATTTCTTAGGTTAAAGGTCAAACCATACGTAACAAAGAGCATATTTCCTTTAGTAGAGGTCTCTTTTAGTATGAAAGAGTACCCTTTATTCAAGTTTCTTCTGATTTCCTCTTGCCTTAAATAGCTATATCAGAAAACGTTAGTTAAAAAAAGTGAGAAATAAGCTTTGAGCCTGTCTGCCTTGAGGATGGAGGTTGAGGCATTAATTTTGTGGATTTAGATAACTTAAATAACTGGATTTTCTTGGTGTCACAAACAAAGATTAATATATCACACGTAAAAAGATCTTCAGGAAATTCCTACCCTAAACGCGTTTTTTCAGTAATTTGGTGCCTCATAGATACCTCGACTTGTCAAAACGCTAGGAAATGTCAGAATTTCGTTATTCGACAGCTCAGTAACCATTTTTTGCTATGGTAGTAAGTTTTAGGTCTCCTCCGTTTCGGCGTGATATTTATTTCCACCTCTTCAAGCTTTCATTAATGACTAAACTTTCTTTTACGACATGAAGCCTTGACTTCCAACCAGACCTGCTTCAGGGAAAATAAATGTCCACCAATTTTGCTCTGCGAAACACAAACCTGCTCATTTTAAATGTCCACAGTGCTTCATTTACAAACCGCCCCATTTACAATATTTTACATCTCATGTATTTATTCGATACACTTTTAAAAGAAAAAAATTAGGAAGATATACGCTTAAATATATTTGAGGCAATTCGAATAGTGGTAAAAAGTGGAAGTGGGATGAGGGACATCTTACTTGTGATCGACCACAAGACAGATCTGAAGTGGAACAAATGCTCACCACCTTTCCTTGATTTTTTCTTTTTAAGCCACTTACCGACTTCGATGGATTCTTGAAAAAGCCATCAAACGCTCACCTACCTTTACCGTCGACTTTCGACAGCTTCAATGGAGTCCAGAGGCCTCAGCTGTGGGCGAAGAAGCTGGTAGAGAAGGCGGTAAATCCACTGGCCTGCACCAGTATGTGAACTCACGCACTAACACTTTCCACCGCAAGTCCATCCTTGTGGATCTGTCGAAGCGAGAGAGCACAGAGAAACTCATCTCTGCAATTGGATCCATTATGCCTCAGCGCGCTGATTTACACTTCCTCATTGTTGGTGGGGTAAGTGATTAACACTTACAGTCAAGCAGGAAAGTAAGTTCCTTCAAGGATGAATTACCGATTTTTATTTTGCAAACAACCAGACTTTGTCATCCGCAGTAAGTGGAAGAAGGTTATGGTGAACAGGGAGCTTTGAAAAGGAAACCGCTTCACTAATACTTGAGCAGTTATGGACCGACTCGTTTAAACATAAACATTCTTTCTAAAGGTGGGAAGTCTTTACTATTATTCTCAAGGGCTTATCTCACACCACTGTCACTAATTTGACCCCAATGTTGTGAACGAAAGGGTAAAAGGTGGTGGGAATCTTGAAGTAGGATGATGTGGGTGGCACGGATAGCAAGCCATACAGTCGACATGAAGACTGCTTTCGTAGAGGAAGAAAGTGCTCCCTGAACAAACACAAGATTCCCGTTTACTTGCATCACACAACAAAACCAGGTTGGAAGACAATTTATCAGTTACTTTTTGAATTTGGAACAGGTTGCAAATCGCTTGCAGTAACCCTCTTTCCAAGGTTAGTTAGAAGGTGACTTTGTGGCGCCCCGAGTCTTTTCCAAAGTGGTAGGTCAGAACACATATTACTGAAGTATAGGAGGTTTAAAGGGCAACTCGGGATGCGTTTTTAAATTTTCTTTTTACGAAGAGCCGAATGTAATTTCCACTTTAATTGGGAATGTTGCAAAACTATTGACATCCTGACACTGGCCTAGGTAAAATTATTGTTTACTTTGTTCAAGTAAACAGCTCTTGTGCCAGATTAAAACGCAAAAGGAAAAAAAGACCATAAAGTGCATATGGGGACAAGACGATTTATGAAATTTAGTGAGTGATTTGGTGATTTTATTTGTCATTTTGCTAAAAAAGGATAGCTTTACAGGGATTATAAATAACTTTAGGCCCTCATTATTGAGTATTTTACTTTGCCACAGGTAAAAATTGACGCAGTTTGTTCTATTTTGCCAAAAAGAGGCACAAGAGGGGCCGAGATAGTCTATTTGCAACCTCAGAGGCGGCAGGGGGAAAGAGGTGTCAAAACAATTGGACTAATCAGATATAACATGCAAAAGAGAAACTTGTGCAGAAGGAATTTATCAGGGGAGGAAATCTTGGTTGGCGTTTTACCGCAAGGCCGACTTGAATGACTCAACTGACAATTTCCGTAAAAAGAAATCACCCTTTTGATGCTGAAAATGGTGAGATGTCTCAACTCTTATTTACCAAAGAACGACCCACCGATCCAGCTGAGTAACATGCCGGTTTTGTAAAGAAGACTTTATATTCAATCCGCCAATTTTTTTTTGGGCATTGAGCTGGTTTACAATCCTTGTCAGTCGTAGGTTACTATCTGCTTATTTAACATCCGGTCTCTTTACCCTACTTGTTGGGAGCTGTATCCCATCCCGAAGGACGCATAAAGGTCGCTCGCCATCTGGATCCGATAATATAAAGCGGCGAAGTCTCCAGACCGCAGCCTAGGCATCACTCTTGAAGTGTCTGATCTGGCTGCCAAGGTCTAGACGTGAACTACTAAAGTGTGACAGCCACACGTCACAATCTCAACCGGAAATCGAGCGAGATAACAGCTACAGAGGTCTTAGTTTGAAGTACACCCAGAGCACGAAGTGGTTGCGTGTCCCTTGGCATACTGAAGTACACGGAGGATGCCAACCCTCGAAAATACATGCCATTTCGAAGGATGTTAAGTAGAGCTGGAGAGTATTAGCAAATGTAAGGTGCAATCAGGAGTTCAGGGAGAAAGCGAACAGTAAATGCTTCTAATGGGTGGGGGGGGGATAAGATTAAACCATAACATGTAGAACTTCAAAGGAGAAACGTATTTTTGTAGTTGTAAACATTCCCGACAGCCCACTTTCATGGTCACGTATATCTGACGATGCTTAATGGTTCGCTGCCATATTTCATTGTTTCCCAAAAATAAAACCATCTACGCTTTTATTTGCCAGAGAGTACACGTCTTCATTTTGTTGCTAGGACATAATGCGCATCAATGACAGTTCTTTGCAATTCGGTGGCATCAATATGACAGCCCTGGCTGACATGGACTTCGATGCGGTGGCGTTGAAGAGTTACAAGGCTGAACTGAATCCACGCGCTCGTTTGGCCGATATGACAAATGGAAATCTTTCGGTGAGGCATTTTCTGTACTCTTGAACTGCAGTTTGTTATTGAAGGTAGAACATACACAAGTAATTAGTTTTTTATAATTTGATCTATAAAATAATGCCCGAATTTGCAGAGGAAAATAGGATTCCCTAGTATGCTATTTATCCAGTCCGTTGAAAGATAAATTTAAAAGCCTTGTTTGTTAAAACACTTGTTACTACTCCTCTCAAAGGAAAATGTGAGGAACCTTTTGCTGTAAAATGCTTAATTTTACTGCGTGGGTTGTATTAGCTTAAATTTTTAAATTAACAACTATATAGGCATGAATTGGATGACTTGAAGTTTTATCTTGCTATAAAGGTTGCAATGGAGGAACACATCTCAGCAGTTCCTCACATTTGTCTTTAGGCCTGACCTGTTTCTGTTGGGCAGATCTACAACACCATTCTTGGACAGCGGAATCAGACCCTCCTAACTAACGTATTTCCTGTGCTCGCAACAAATGTCCTAGATTTCTGTGTCAGTCTGGACACATTTGAAAACCTTTTAGACTTCGCCTAATTTTAGAATGACGCCGCACTGATCATTGATGGAATGAAAAGTCTTGTTCAAGCTCTACGACTTCTCAATGAGGACACATATGCAAATCGCTTAAACAAACCTGGTCTCCATAACAATGATGAAACCCCTTCTGCTGGAAATCTGCCTTGTCAACCAACCTCACCGCCATCGTTCACTGCTCCACAAATTATGGAGAGGTTACAGCAGGTTATTATTTGGGGACATTGCTTACTTATTATTTATAAGTAGAAAAATATTTTGACGTGTTTTCCACAGTGAAGTCTTAATACTACAGACCGGATAAATCACTCGGAAGTCCATTTTTAACACTAATTCGAAATTTTGGTGGAGCATAAGTCTAAAAGTGGTTTTTAGAACTGCCTTAGTCATCCTCTTAAAAATTAACAAACGTTCCTATTCAATGCTTTATTAGTTGACTTTCCTTAGACGCAAATAAATGTTCGAGGGCTTGGAGTCACCGTGGGTACTTAAGAAACGTCAGTACTCCACGTCTCCAGAGGCATGAGTGCATGCACTCTCCAACACTCACAACCACATTACATCTGTTGTGACAGTAACAGCATTCGTCCTGCAGTCGCTTTTCTAGGTGCCCCTGCTCACAGACATGCATGCGTAGCAGTTCGTAACAAGCTGCTCTGGTCAGTCCCCATACATGAATTTTATCTTATTGACTGCACATTGCCACCGAAGTTCTTAAAAAATAGACGCCTAGGACTGTAGAGACAAAATTCTCGATCGTAGTGATGCTCAACCTTCCAATCTTTTCATTTGTGTGCCTTATTCAAAAGAAACCAAGAGTGCAAGCTTTTCCCTTTTATAAGTCCTTTCATGGCCTATTTCCGTGGTTTAGTTTTACTAATAAACGACTGTACATTAGACACTACTAAGTGTACCATATTTCACTGTTTTTAGATAGTGTTTGCTGGCCTCACAGGGAATATGAGCATCAGCAGAAGTGGGTTCAGAGATGCCTATGCCTTTGACATCTGGGGCGCCAAAATGAAGCAGTCTTTTTCAAAGGTGAGTTCACATATTTAGGCTTATTAAACAATGGCCGCCAAACTAGGACCTGTTAGTAGTTGAACACCTGCGAGCAGGCAAGCTTTCATACAGAAAGATTTGTCAGTGTGGCTTTACGGTTCCCGACCATTCATGGTACTCGATCTCCATCTAGCATTTCAAATTATGCCTTTCCTCTGTTCACTACCCCTACCAAAGGGTCTAAATCTTCCTCAGTTTCACCATGTAATAGGTTTTTTTGCCGACTGGAGTCTTTTACATCCACTGAACTACAACTTGTGCACCGACTATTAAACGTAGGAAGCATGCATAAGGTGCCACTGGATGTAACACCGCCACGGTTGCATACCTTTTCTATCGGTGAAAAACTACAGGTCCCGGATCAACTTGAGCATGTCTTGCCACTCTTTAATGAAGAAGTGACTTTTACTAAATGCCAAAATATTTTTCGGGTACTTATGACAAAACATTTACATTTAAGTCATTGAAATGTGAATGAGATTATGCCTTGACACCTTAGTGACTTGGCAAATACATACCACATAGCACCAGTTTCGGCTCAGTTTTAATTAAATATATAGCAGCGACAAGAGTGAAAAGAATGGAGTAGTTCTTTTTATTTGGAAGCAAATTTCTTTCCTTTGCTAAAAAGGACTATGATTAAGTCACGTTTTGAAACCATTAAATGCTTTAAGAAGATGCTTTCAACAATTTACGAACTCTAGTAATGCTGCTCAAATCAGCCGCAAGCAGATTCGAAGCACAATCGTCTACCCTTAAATACCTGTTGCCAAAACTACAAATCCTATGTAATGCATTACTAAGCCCAAAGTGCAAACAATAAAGGGGATATTCAAATAGAGTTTTCAACTGGCGTGGATGTAAGTAGACAATGGAGGAGGAGGAGGAGGAGGAGAGGGAGGTGAAGGCTTACTCAGCTTTACATCTGAACTCCTCATTTGGCCACTCCTGCACGGACAATCGGTCATGAGTATGCCTGACAGCCTTGATGCCCAAATGCCTGGCCGAAGGATCCAAAGGTCTAAGCTCAACATCCGGTTTGTTGCCATGAAAAAGGGAACAGATTTAAAAGCATCTAGAAGGCAATTCATCCCAAAAAGACCAGCCACGAAGTTTGTTAAGTTGGAGTCAAAGACTTTAGTTATTGGTTTTTATTTCAAAAAAGCTACCCTAAATTCGAGAATTGGAAAAACTTCTTGCCTATTTACTTTGAATAAACAAATCTGTAGCCGTAAAGCGAAATTATTTGATTTAATACGTTGGCAGCCATCGAAGGTAAAGCTAAGAGGCAAATCAACTCTTGACAGGTAGTAAATTAGGTTGGTGAAGTAGTTAATACATTTTTTTGAAATGAGATCTTACCATGCCTGACAATTTTTTTCTTATTTCAGTTGGGAGAGTGGAATTCCCAAGATGGTATTGTGATGAAAGTCCCCACGGATAAGAACGATTTGGAGGCTGGTGTGGATCATAACAAGGTGCGAATTGTCTCCAGCATTTTGGTAAGAATTTACACAACTCCTGCATCTGTTTACTGCCTAATAAATGTAAAATTATTACTAACCAGCCACCCTAAGTGTTAGGTGTTGAGATACAAACCCGTAATAGATTGTGTGGCTTTCAATTTAGGTGGGAAATTTGGGGGTTGTAACGTTTTTATGGCATTCAGGTGAAGGAAAAGTTGGTTCGGTTTTCGGTAAAGCTCGTGGCAACAACTGGTTGCTGCTCATTTTGTTGTGGCCTGTCAAGATTCTCATGTCCTAAAGTGATGTTTATACTGCTTTACTAACGTACCATCAAAAGCAAGTGGTTTAATGTGGTTTTGGTGATGGAACTTTTAGCAGCATGAGGATGAGGAAGATTACCCGTTATTGGTCATGAAGGCGGCTAACGTGTCAAGAACCGTCGGTGATGATAAACGTAGATGGTGAAATACCTAAAAAATGTCCAAAGTAATTTATAATTTCGGTGGTATTTGCTACGTCCGGATTTCTTTTTACGAACATACGAGGCATGTTGGTGTGGAGGTAGTCTCATTATATACATACGGAAGATCCTGGAGACCAGACTGAAACTCCACATCATTAACATGAAGGTCAAATTCTAGGTCAAACGATGGCATCGATAATAAAAACTGATGCCCTGCTGCTACAAGAACGCACCTCCGGTTACTGTGGATGAGTCTTTAGTGTATCCAACTTCATCACCGAATGTTTCATTTACTGGTAATTAGCAGATTAACTTTTTGATGACCTGCCACTTCTTGCTCTTAAATGCATCAAACGGTGCCTCACATACCTCACCGTAGTGAAAGTATTGCTGGGCCTCAATTATCTCCCTAAGGGTGTTATAGAATGTTAAAATCTGTGAATAGCTTTATTTGAAGACAGTCCTATGGCCATGCTTTAGCAGCTGTCCTTTGAAAAGCCCTCATATCCAACTTTTGTTTAGATGAACATCAAGCGGTGTCTTTGAAATACTTCCAGTGAATTTTTGGGGCTGCTTCCTTAGCCTATGACAAAGTGAATTAGATTATTTACCTAGTCACAACACCCACAAACAACCAATCTTTTTAGAAGAAAGGCAGAATGAAAGCAAAAGGTGGTAATGACTCCGAAATTGTTATAAGTGACAACTCAACCACCAATGATGCCATTTATGCAAAATGGAAAACCCTCTTCAGTGATCTTGATAATTGTACTTTGAGGTCAAATTTAGTAGTTAGAGGTCATTGTGTCACTATCTTAGCTGGCAAGAATTATTTATACTATATCAAAATGAACTATTACCTATTCTTTAAAAAATAATATTTAGGATAGATTTTGACTTCATTGATTTCATCTACTGTGACCACTTGGACTACCAGAGAAAGGGTTTTCGACGGTTTTTAGTATTTTTACTTTCATGAAAGACAAGTTGGAAAGGCGGAGCCCCAATTACCATGAAATGAATCCTTAAAAATTTCTCTTTTTTAGTTAAACTAGAGGTTTACGCATCACTATATTTAGTTTAGGGGTAGCACCACCTCGGATGAAATCAAAACACTATATGAAACGGCAACTAAGACAGCCAAAGTCCCCTTCAAAGTGGAATATTTCCCATTTTAGAAAGTTTGAGAAAGTTATCTGAAAGGCAGTAGCAAAGACTAGGTGGTGACCATTGGTAAACATTTTCACCTTAACGTAGTCAGGCCAGCATATCATTTTCACCTAAATTCAAGCAAAATTAATTTTGTTACTTCATTACCTTTTAGCAAATGTTAACCTCAATAATTGTTGTTCCAAAAAAATGACCACAACAGCTTACAAAAGATTTGTATGTTTCCTTACGTCAGGGCAGGAATATTCTACTCCTAATTAAGAAATGTTTAACTCAAACAGTCAACTTTAAGGAACGAGAAAAATAAATTTTACCTCAGCTATACTAAGCTAATAAAAAACGCGTTAGAATGTCAGAGGAAATTTCCTCTCTTTTTCTTCCACTTCAGCTGTCACCATTCATGATGGAGAAGAAGGACGTAAATGGAAAGCCTATTAAAGGCGAATACGAGGGATTTTGTGTAGATTTGGTCCAAAAATTGGCCGAGATGATTAATTTCAAGTACAAAATGAAAGCCGTCTCCGATGGGCAGTTTGGTAGTCTGACCAACGGCAGCTGGGACGGAATGGTTGGAGAACTGTTAAGAAGGGTGAGTAACTAGATTTGCCACTTCTTTATACGAATTAGAAATGGTTCAGGTAAATAAGCGATCCAGTTGAATCGCAATTCCATCAGTAAGTACTCCAAATACTCTACATATACTTTTTAAAAAGCTTTACCCTGTGCAAACTGAATCACAATTCCACTGAATGAGATGCAAAAAGGAGTAGTGAAACTGGCAAGAATGGCTGGAAAGCTAGAGACTCGAAATATGTGTTCAGAGGCAGAACAAACGTCGACACATTCAAGATTCATTTTCTGCCCATTTGACATCTGCAGCTGTCCTAGTAATATTATTCGGATGCCTTAAAAAGTACTTAATGCATTGGATTTGCATTATAGAAAGAGGGTTGATTATTTAAGTAGTTGTATTGCTCTACATTTACAGCTCTTGTATTTTTATCATCAAGAAGAATATCGTAACATATTGTGGAATCACAGGATATTAAAGACCAAGAGATAAAAACTACTTAAAATGGTTCGTTTTATTGTAAAAACGTTGTTAAGTGTTCATAAATCGACTTTATACGGTGGAAATCAAGTCCTCTCTGAGGATTTAAGAACATTATCAACCTTAAATATACCTTTGCTGGGAGTGAATGGAGATGTCAGTGAGTTAGTAACATGAGCTTCTTAATTTTGGTAACTAAGCCAATGGAGATTGAAGAGTTGAGACTAAATAGAGTGGTGATGTTGTTTACTAAGCATCCATTATCACTCCCCTCGTAGTGTTGTAAAACTACTAGTGAGACAGAAAAGACGGCTATCCCCTGCAGTATCATTGATGCATCCTGTAAGTTTGGATAGATCCAAAAGCTTATCTGCAGATATCTGGTTGCATTGGCAGAAGTCTTCATGTACGGTAGGGTGGCGGAGAGCCCAGTCGACAAGCGTGGGTGTAAAGACGTGGTTCTAGATGTCCACTAGACAGGAAATCTTTTACATGACAGAGCACAGAAGAACCGAAGCAGTCACCAAGAAGTTGAGTGCAGAGTAAGGAACGCAAATGCCTCAGGACGACTCAGAAAATTAGCATGTTTAATTTTGAGTTTCCCACGTGATTCTCGGTGAAAGAAGAAGCAAATGTAACTAAATAGAAGCAATTGTTTTTTTTTTACCTTGTTAGCTCTTCTAAATAACCCAATAATCTACTGCTACTAAAGTAGTTTTACCATCTGGGATTTATTTAGCCTTTTGTCAGCAGAAATGGATGGCAAAATTTGTTGTGCTTTCACTGGCCCTTGGGAAATAACATTGAGGAAGAAGTAACTTTTTGACCATTAACCACAGGCGACGTGGAATATGGTAACACTGTTCTGAGGTGCTTCAGAGTGGTGGCATAAAAGGAGATTAATCTCCCTTCCATGCCTTTTTTAATCAAAAACTCTGCGTAGCAAATGTAGCCAATAAAATTCAATCACGGCGGGCGAGGTGGTAATAACCCCAACCTTTTGTGATATCGTAAACATGCATGAACCTCACACCAAGCAATTTGTTTTGCCAAAAACTAAAGGATGGTGACCTCCGAAACTTCTGAAAATCTCATTTTATCTTAATAAAGACTTTTTGCATCTTTACTCCAGAAGATGTTTCGTGATTTTGAAAACAGCTAGATTTATTCTCAGTTACACCAATCTTCACTGAAATAGACGCCTTTCTGGAATTAAAAGCAATATTTAAAATGTGGCATGGGTTTCCCCACTTGTCCATCAGATGTGGTGGTCTCTCCAACCATCAAATTCCTCCTCACAATATTTCATCAAAAAGAGAATCAACATTTACGGGGACGCACTTGAATGTAAAATTCCTTGCCATAAGTTGAGCCTTCAACTCAGCTGTCACGCACCTTGATGGTAGTGCAGGGTCTGCGCTGATTGAAGTACTCATTCATTGTGGACTCGAGGATGAAGGCGTAGTCTTTGTTGGAGTTGATGACTCGCTCCACTCCCGCCTTCACAGTGGGTGCCAGAGCCTCCGGATTCGCTTCCATGAACTTCCACATTTGTTGGAAGATCTTTATACTCGATTTCTACAAAACAGCTTGCATCTGTGTAATTCGCAGTACACTCAAACTGGCTTCTAGGCATTTCAGTGAGCAGTGGCTCTTTCGCATCTGCTTTCAAACAGAGGCAATGTAGACTTGTCGGGTGTGTGATAAAACTCGTCAAATTGCCGATACTTAGTAGCAGAACGTCCACATTAACTTTGCACAAACCCTGCAAAACCACCCACGTCCTCATCTTCCTTCAATTGTGCCATCAAATGGTGCGCCTCACCACAATGACTTGTAGGACCAGGGTCTCCCCTATCGCAGGTGATTACCTGTATACACAAATAAGTTTCGAAGTGCACAAATGGGACTGTCCATCAATCTCTTGTATCCATCTTCGTTGCGCTTCCTGCCGCTTCTACACCATTTGGCGCCTTCACACGCCGTCAGCTGCACTTGATGCAGTTTGAGCACATCCGCTTCATGCATGTGAACTCGCATGTGATTTGAGGTTGCACAATCTCCACCCACAAACTCACTGTGTGTCATTTGGAGGAGCGATGATGGTGTGTGGCAGTAGGACGTAGGACAGATTCGCCTGACAAATCACCCTTGTATACTTCCAGTTGACGTAGACCTCCTTTTCTTGTTCACAGTGAGAAAGTACCTGTCCTTGTTGAATGAGGTCAGTCGGCGCTAGTGTGACACTAAAAGCATGTGACAGTGCCTCACTTCGTTGATAGAATCAACTCTCTCACAGCTACATCCACTTGCCACATCAACCAGCGTGGTGGTGAGGAGCACATCAAACTAATGGGTGACACAAGTCAACCGTTGACAGATGACAATTGGCACGCAAGGCAAGCCATTTGTAGTTCCTCACATCTTCCACCTCCTTCACACAACCCGTCATGTGTTTGGGATTGCATGTGCACTGTTTAACTGACTGACTGTCATGTTGTTGAATGTTGAGCGAACCAACACATTATTGGTTATCCCCAAAGGGACCCACTATCCACACTACCCACACCGTCCACACTACACTTCCGGGGCACAAGTCACTCCACTTACTCAACACTGTGTTTACTTTGTGTGTGTGTGTGTGTGTGTTTGGCGGGTCGCAATTACTGCTGTTCATTAGGGATTACTCGCCTACCGAAGGCCAAACAATTGGGGGGGTAAGAACAATTTCCTCTCTTCTAAAACAACTGACACTATCCAACCGATGAAGAAAAGTTTCTGCTCCCGATCTTACAAGACAATGCATGACCATGTGCTTCATGTGTCATGCCGCAAAACTAAACTGGCCTGTAGGGAATTGCACCTGGGGATGAGAGAGCAGAGGAGTGGGATGAGATGACTCGCTCCACTCCCGCCTTCACAGTGGGTGCCAGAGCCTCCGGATTCGCTTCCATGAACTTCCACATTTGTTGGAAGATCTTTATACTCGATTTCTACAAAACAGCTTGCATCTGTGTAATTCGCAGTACACTCAAACTGGCTTCTAGGCATTTCAGTGAGCAGTGGCTCTTTCGCATCTGCTTTCAAACAGAGGCAATGTAGACTTGTCGGGTGTGTGATAAAACTCGTCAAATTGCCGATACTTAGTAGCAGAACGTCCACATTAACTTTGCACAAACCCTGCAAAACCACCCACGTCCTCATCTTCCTTCAATTGTGCCATCAAATGGTGCGCCTCACCACAATGACTTGTAGGACCAGGGTCTCCCCTATCGCAGGTGATTACCTGTATACACAAATAAGTTTCGAAGTGCACAAATGGGACTGTCCATCAATCTCTTGTATCCATCTTCGTTGCGCTTCCTGCCGCTTCTACACCATTTGGCGCCTTCACACGCCGTCAGCTGCACTTGATGCAGTTTGAGCACATCCGCTTCATGCATGTGAACTCGCATGTGATTTGAGGTTGCACAATCTCCACCCACAAACTCACTGTGTGTCATTTGGAGGAGCGATGATGGTGTGTGGCAGTAGGACGTAGGACAGATTCGCCTGACAAATCACCCTTGTATACTTCCAGTTGACGTAGACCTCCTTTTCTTGTTCACAGTGAGAAAGTACCTGTCCTTGTTGAATGAGGTCAGTCGGCGCTAGTGTGACACTAAAAGCATGTGACAGTGCCTCACTTCGTTGATAGAATCAACTCTCTCACAGCTACATCCACTTGCCACATCAACCAGCGTGGTGGTGAGGAGCACATCAAACTAATGGGTGACACAAGTCAACCGTTGACAGATGACAATTGGCACGCAAGGCAAGCCATTTGTAGTTCCTCACATCTTCCACCTCCTTCACACAACCCGTCATGTGTTTGGGATTGCATGTGCACTGTTTAACTGACTGACTGTCATGTTGTTGAATGTTGAGCGAACCAACACATTATTGGTTATCCCCAAAGGGACCCACTATCCACACTACCCACACCGTCCACACTACACTTCCGGGGCACAAGTCACTCCACTTACTCAACACTGTGTTTACTTTGTGTGTGTGTGTGTGTGTGTTTGGCGGGTCGCAATTACTGCTGTTCATTAGGGATTACTCGCCTACCGAAGGCCAAACAATTGGGGGGGTAAGAACAATTTCCTCTCTTCTAAAACAACTGACACTATCCAACCGATGAAGAAAAGTTTCTGCTCCCGATCTTACAAGACAATGCATGACCATGTGCTTCATGTGTCATGCCGCAAAACTAAACTGGCCTGTAGGGAATTGCACCTGGGGATGAGAGAGCAGAGGAGTGGGATGA